AAAAATGACCATGTGTGACTTATAAAATAAAATATCAGAACGAGATATATGAATTAATTCTGCAGATCTTAAAAATCCGGCGAAAGCTAATAAACACATAGATACTATTCGCAGATCCATTAAAGATGCATTGATCATTTTTGAATCATACAACCGTTCAAGTATATCAACTGTGATTGGCTCCTTTTTAACCACTGGCTTAGACAGTTTGCGCTTTGCTCCTTCCAAAACATTCTTGACAAGGCTATTTTCAGTGGGACTCTCTAGTCCAATGTTACAATGAGCATGCCTTAAACTATAAAATGCTGTTAACACTGGTGATATTGTTTCACTCTGTTGCACAATAGACAACAGATAAATAGCACAATGCAAATGTGAAACGGGCAACTGATAACACATATTATTAGCGTTTGCCCACCTTTTCCAAGCAGCAAATCCATTGCTATATTTTTTATAAGTAGAATCTGCCCTGGACCGTGCCAACAAACCTGGTAGCTGTCCAGCTAACTGGCGCACATTCAAAGGGAGTTCATCAAGTTCATCACTATAGGCATTCAGAAGGCTATCTGTAAATACACAGCAAAATATTACCTAAAATCCACATAAAGTGCAATCATATTAAATGCAAATCGTGTTCCCGAACAAACCGCCTTTGATTCTGCTTGCAACAAACGCTTCTTTGGCCCTAGGCAAATATATTTGATCTTTGATTTGCAAAATACGCTCAGAATTCACATATAACAGTGGCCAAAAGCACGCTGAATGCCACTCTGGGACGTTCCAACTGCATGAAACTCTGCCATGTGTTTGATTACTCGCGGTATCAAACAAATAGGGGGAACAACCCAACTAATTGTACCTCTCCAGTTAACAGTGAAACAGTCCACTGCCTGGCATCCAGGATTACTGAAACGAGAGTTAAATTGGACAACTTTTGTGTCATAATATGAAGCCAGCCTATCAACTTGATGAGGTCCCCATTTCACATCTATTTCGTGAAAAATATTTTTGGAAATGCCCCAATCATCGTAATCAATTAGCTTGCTAAGATAGTCAGCTTGCATGTTCTCATGGCGAGGAATCCACTGGAGATGGAGCTCAACACTGTACTGTAAACATAGATCAAAGATCTGCAAAGCAAGCGATTGTAAATGGAGCTTCATACTGCCTTTTTCAATAATAGTTACAACATTTTGATTGTCAGTAAACCATTTGACTCTCTGATGACCTAGGGTTGCAACAAAGCTTTGGAGAACCATACACACAGCTTTCAGCTCTCTCCATGTAGAGCTGCGAGTAATTTCATCACAGGACCACTGTCCATGGGATACTACAGAGTCTACATCCACGCATTATCCACCATAACCACTTTGGCTTGCATCCGAATACACCAATCTTTTTGTCAATGCTGTTTGCACAATCGTTCTAGAAATATACCTATAGTATGTATATTGCGATGCCAAAATGTCAGCTGCTTGATGTTAGTATCTGACAAGTATATAAGACTGTTCCATGATGAAGCAGCAACAACATCAATACTCATAGCTCTTGTCATGAGTTGTACAACTGGTCCTATCACTAATTTCATAGAAATTAATTGACCAACAACTGATGCTACAGATCTAACCGATACACGTTTAGTCTTGTATTGTAACAGTTTAGTTATAGCTTGTTTGACCTTGTCAACCTTCCTGAGAGGTACAGTCATAGTCATGGAAGTAGTATCGATACCAAAACCAAGCCATTCAAGAGATTGGGACGGTAGCCAAAGTGATTTCTCAACTTTAGGAACAAAGCCTGAAGAAAGCAGATCTCTCTTTAAATCACACCCAGCTGTCTGCGCTCCAGTATCCGTGGATACAGATAGAATGCCGTCGTCTAGGAAGGTAACTATCTTATGGCCATCAAACCTCCACTTTTTGACTAGTTGTCTCATGACTTTTGTAAATACATATGGAGCAGACGTCAAACCAAAAGGCAAAACCAAGAATTTGTAGTAGCATATTCTACCTGCTTCGTTAAACCATGCAAAACCAAGAAAATCAGTATGAGATGGAATTATATCTATATGATGGTATGCTGAGTGGATATCAAATTTTATCAACCAGTCATTCATATTAATATATGCCGATGCAGTCTTCCAATCTTCATATTTAATACTCTGCTTGAAGATATATTTATTAACTCTGCTAAGATCAAGAATTAAACGTCTTTTTCCTGACGACTGTACTGAAACAGACAAAGGACTAACAACACTAGGGGGAGCAACACATTGGCACACCAGGTCCTTCTTCAACAACTCACCAATAGCCTGCGAGACAAAATCTCTGTGTTTAATAGCAGACTTGTTATTCTTATCATGCAATTTAGGCGGGGTCGTAATAAACGGAATTATATATCCATTAGCAATCCAATCAATAACACATTGAGATGCACCTATCTCACGCCAATACTGTATATTACTTTTGAGACGGCCCCTGACTAAGATTTCAGCTGTACCTTGTTCATACTCAAAATAGTTATCAGTGAACTTGCTATCCTTGATGACAAAGTTATCATTGAAATACTTAACTGACAAATCTTGACCAGAACTACTGGCGTTGCTGACTTGAGGCAACTTGTCCGCCGGCTGTCGCCCCTTGACCTGTTCCGAAGTAAGGACAGTCTTTCCTGAAGTGAGAGAATTCGCCACATGCGAAACAGGCCCCTGATCTTTGCCCTTTACCACGAAAAAGCTGGTTTGTGATTGACTGCATATGATGTAAAGTAGAACCAGGTTGAACAGCAAATGCACGGGGTTGGTGACAGTCGCCGAACGTCTTGACCTATTTGTAGAGTACGGCGCTTGCCTGGCACGTTTCTGTTTGAGTTTTCGGACAGCTTTGCTTTCAGCTCTGTTGATACGTTTGTCGTCATCGGAATCATCCGCCAGCTCACGAGAAACATAGTTCTTAACCGTTTCCCACCCACCTTCAGATGTATCTGCTATTTTGATAAGCTTGTTCCTTCTATTGATCCTGTCGAGCTCTGACGTTACGGAAGCTTCTGCTTCGTCCAGACGAGAAGACTGGATATCTCCCAGAATTTTCTGGAGGCAGTCTATACTTTCCTGATTAAAGTTGAATTGAATTTTATTCTTGACCATGTAAAATCTTTTTCTGCTTTCAACTTCTTTAAATCTCTTAAGTCTGTATAAACTCTTCCCTCAATGAACCAATCTTCTCATTAAGAGAGGCTTGAAACTCTGTTTTATTTGAATTGAGCTGTTGCAAAATGGCGTCCAGTTTAGCTTCTGTATCCATATTGACGAAACAAGTGTGAGGCCGTGCATGCACAGTGAGCGAGAGAGAACAATTCAAAATTGTACTACCCCTTATATACCCCCTTAATCACGCCACCTAGGGGCACATAATCACCTTGATTGACATACCGCTAGGAGAAAATAATTTCTATCTTATTCATTCTTCAAACGAGAGAAATATTATCACACTCAGGTCACCATCTGTTGCCCTTTAGGTACATAGTTATATTTATAGACGAATATAAGAGAAACAAATAAATCAATTATACACATATGTGAGGGTATAAACATGTGCTTCGAATATTCAGGAATATTCAGTGTTAATCTTTTTGCAGAGTTTGATATGTTTATGTAAAATTAATGGTTTGTCGCTTTTATTTACGAAGTTTCACAATAGCCAAGGTTCAAAATAACCTATATAGCTTTCAACTAATTATATAATTACCAGCGAATCGCTCTTGATTTACGAATTGACCTTCACTTTGTTTGAGTTCATTGGAGTATGAACCTTCATAGAGCGAGGGCCAAACTGTATGAACGTCGGAGCTTGTTCTAGAAAAACATGGGTCACAGAATGGTTAACTTTCATTTAGAAAATACCCGAAAATGTGAAACACTATTTCCATTTGCATAGCTAGCCTTTGTTTACATTTGTTGTACGGCTCCACGTGCTGTCATCGAATATTGTCACTTTTGATGTATAAATATATATTGTCATGCACCTCACTGTCGCAGCTTTAGTAGCATATCTATATAATTATGCAAAACAATGTGTAAAGCGCCCCAAAATACTTGCATTAGGCTAATCTGTTCTGATTTCAGAATAAGCGCGTTGGTTAACAAACAAGCGATAAGTCCAGTCACGTGATATGCAAATAAGCCCGCAGTAGTGGTGTTAGGGCAAGTCCCCACTGCGCTGGGGTGTTGTCAACAATACCACCCGGATGACGTAAACAATACACTGGTGCGCGTGAAGCGATATTTGCACTAGTGCACATCCGATTTGTATTAACTCGGAGCAAGGCGTCAAGCGGTGTCTGTGTCGATGCGGAACGTATCGACCTTCCGCATCCTGTACCCAAGGTATTCGATTAAGAACATCATGTACTGCTGTCATTTTCAATAATGAGAAGATGAAATTAGGTCTGGATTAGATCTCAATTAAAAAAGAAAATAAGCTGAGTAAGGATCAGCCATCTCAATATAAGAAACTGATTCACAGTGCAAATACATATGCGAACAATAAATATTGGATACTAGCGCTAGTATTAATTATCGGTAATAAAGTTCGGAATTAATGTGAGAACAGAATGGTCTTTAAAAGTAATTTATCAAATGTCGATATTTAGGGATAAATGATACCTCGTTTTAGATTGCACAAAACTATGACACGATTACATAAAATACCAACCTGAGAAGATCCGGTTTAGAATTTGTCTTCAGCACACCATGCTTGTCGTAAGGGGTATTGTAATTTCCATGACGCTGTGGAATACATTCTGTTATATGTCATGATCATGTAAGATCATGAGCAATTCAGTACATATATGTGGTAGGTGACTTAATTGTGATAAAATTCTTCAGTACCATAACTCTTGTTAAGTGCAGATTTTAGATGATTTTAGTCACTGGATCTGTAAAACCCCCATAGATATAGCGATACCATTCTTCGTGATCATTTGATAACTTGTGTTTCTAGCTCCTGGTTTAAAACCAGTCCTCCAGGATGCCCTCTCTACAGAATCCCGTAGAATCAACGTGACGTGGACTAACGACGATGTTATCGGAAACTATAGTTCCCTTTACATGGTAGCATGGACCCCAGTACCCTCAGGAACATCAGGATCTGAGAATACAACACTGAAGAATTACTCCATACAGTCTCTGTCACCGGGAACAACATATACGGTCACTGTTACATACATCATCACTGGGTACAACAGGGAACAGTTGATGCCATCGGACACAAGAACATACACAACAAGTATTCATGTGTTTATTTATTTATGTAAACCACAAAAGGATAAAATGATCCACAACAACATTGATGTTACAGTACTTTTCGTGACGTACTTTGGAGTATAAAAGAGTTGGCAGAATGCACCCATTAACTGTCAGTCTAACTACCTCTTGACATGAGTAGTGTCTTAGACAAGGTCGAACTTTCAATATTATCCACTCAGGTAGTGGCCGTGTCACATTTATATCCAGTTCATATCATATATATACTGACAACTACCACACCGATCGACATGACCGTAGACGACATATGTTTCAGAGCAAGAATATGGGGGCACTTGCAGCACCAGTATTCCATGCGATGACGCTAGTAACACCATCTCCTGCAACTTCGGTGTCACAAAGTGTCTGTGTGTTGATGGAAGATACCGCAACGGCCAAGCGTGTATCGAGTGTAAGTACAGAGATAGTTAACAGTAATATATATCATGAGATGCAAGTTCAACATTAAATTTGGGTTTCCTGCCGATTACTGGTTGTATTTGTATGCGTTTATTATGGGACCCTTGTGATTCGATATATTCATGTGTAAACTGCGCATGCGCATGCGTGCAAGTGTTTGCTGACGTAAAATAGCAAAAAGACCTTCAGCTCACTTCATCTTCTAAGTATATAAAATACCACAGCTAGAGTATCGAACAAAACGCATCTTAATCACGATGAGAACAGTAAATAAAAAAATCAAATAATCACAAATAACAAACTCGGAATGTTATAATTTACATCATTTACATTTACATTTTACAACTTGCTGGTTCTTTGGCCGGATATCACAATCTGTCTTAAATAAATCTAATTGTACAAATGAAATACTCAGACAAAGTAAGGGTATATTTATCCTTTTAGACTCTTGAAATCATACTCATCATGACAAAAAAATGTGTATGAATAGACATATACGCAAATTCCGTCCACGAAATTGAACTATTCAGAAGTGGCTGTTGAACCCTCAACATACTACTACTATATGCAAACGAATCACATAATGCCTAAGTTTTTTAACGTGAAGTTTGATCATGATCCATGAGGTGTTTGTATTGTCCAAAGGTGGTGGTTAACGTTTGGAGATGTGTATAGCAACAACTTTTAAATAGGACTCATAATTGAAATTTGTATATCTGTTGGTCTGGAACGTTGTTTATGTGTTGTATGTTATTCGTATGTTGGATTGTGAATAAAGCTGTCGTGCATTGTAGTTCCGAGCCCAAAGGGCACTGGATTTATCAGTGTGGATCTCATGTCACGTTAAACATGTCTGCATAAGGAGTTGAGATTCCATGGAACCGGTTACATTGGCATGGGGAAGATTTGAATGTGAAACGACTATGTTTTATTTTGAAAATCTCGTAGTACTGGCCATGGCGACCACATCTTTCCTACTTGTGACAAATTTACTCTATAAGAGTAAAAAGTTAAGGATAGTCTATTACTGTCACTTTTCTCCACAAAACTGGAATGTTTTTTCATTTGTCGATATTTGCCACAGATCTATAAATACGTTATGTACAAGTCATTGGATTTAGCTGGTGATCAAGAATTGACGATATGTAACGGATGTAACTTCTTATATGCCACTTACAGATTGTGTTGCAATAATCTAGCTTGGCAACACCAGTCTAGCAGAAATCCAACTGTGACAACACCAGAGCTCTCATTGGTGTTGCAGACTTTCAGCCTTGACAATAGTATACACGTTGTAGTTCTGTGGAGATATGATGACCAGCACTCTAAACATCTTGATTTCGACCCAATTGTCATGGCTACTGTGTTAACTTCACTCAATTTCACCGTGTTATATTACTATTCATCCGGGATTTCATGAGTTTTATGACAAAACCAATCACCGTAATGGGGCCGAATCCGGGAATTGAATGCTAAGAGAGTTGCAGCTCCTTAGCCTACTCACCCATCCCTGCCCCCTCAGCTGACAGGACTCAATGGAAGGTGTCTTGATGTGAGATTGTAAGATCAGGCGTGAAGCTTTTAGGAACTATGCATTAAACTAGGCATTTCATTCTGTTGACACCAGTAGGCTTTGATCGAGTCATAAGCTCAAGAGTCTCATTACGTGTCAGGACAAAATATCGTCAATATAACATCTGTAGACGATCTATGTCTAAGTTCGTGCCTTGAAGTACTTGTGTGATGAGATTGTTCCTGAGTTTGGAAATGTTTCCATTTTCATTATTTCGGCATATAAATGAATAGTCATTTAATGACAATAATAAATGAGAAGAGATCATACTTCACATCCCATAAAACATACGACTGAACGGTGGTCCTTTTAAATGGGTAAACAAAATGACTTACTACCAAAACGCTTGGAACTGATATCTTTCCTCGAGAGTTACAATCTATTAATCAAGATATGTTCCTGAAGTACGGGTGTCTCCTGGTAAGACAAGCAGATTGTGTGTTTACATTCGAAGTAATATTTTGTGTATGCATGAACGGCTTTCATTAATATTGCTTGCCACTCGACAGACATGCAAATGTGGTGGTTAACATGAAGGCGACCTCGATAATGTTGTCTTTCTACATGAGTCAGAAAAATATGTGGGAGAATTAGATATTCATGGTATGCAGTTTTTCCCTGACAGCTATGCTTATTATTGTTTGCAGACAAGAAGGTCACAACTTTGGCTTGATGTCTTGTCACTAATCAGGTTCATATGTTAACTTGGCTGAACGTTATGTTATTAAAAACAAAAGACAAAAGTTATGGTGTTTAAAAATAGATGACAGGAAAGCAAATTCAGTACCAAAACACACAAAAATGAAATTGTAAAACAACATAAGTATCTTGGACGGATATCTACCAGTAACTTAAATTTGAAAGTGCTTCAAGAATCATTAAAAACTAAAAACAATGCTTTAAGTTGTATAGTATTTATTTTAATAAAGTAGATAGTAAAACCTAGAATGTATTCTTCATATTATTTGACACCAAAATATTCAAAATTTTATCCTGTGGTTGTAAACTTTTTGGGTTTAAGAAGTTTGATTGTTTAATTTTAAAAATACAATTGCTTGCTTGTCAGCAGTACGTCAATCTATCTGATACAATTCATAGTATTGTTGTTTTGATAAGATTTTGATATATGTTCCATTTCTTACGCAATAAACATAAACAACTTAGTAATAACTACGAATGAAACTTCTGATATTATTAAATGCTTACCTATCAATAAAGGCTCGGGACCTGACAGAAACAGTTATAAGCTACTACCATGTATAATGTTCAATTTCTCATTAAAGCAAAGCGTGTTTCCTGATGACTGGGAACTATCGAACTATAGGCCGATATCTCTTATTAGTTGTGTTCGGAAACCATTTGAAAGAATTGTGTTTAAATACTTACATAATCACATTTATACGACCAACCCATTTTATAAGTATCAATTCGGCTTGCAAGTGGGCCAATCAACTGTCAATCAATTGATTGAACTTAACCATCAAATATGTACATCATTAGACAATTGAGAAACTTGTGTATGGTAGTTTGCGTCGTATCTAAAGCCTTGGACCGCGTTTAAAAGGGCTTATTTACAAGCTAACAAGGTATGGTATAAAAGAACAATTGTTAACATGGCTTTTAAGTTACACAACTAATTGTAATCAGTGTGTGTTTGCGAATGGAGCCCAATCACGGCCACGATATTTAAAGGCTGGGGTCATCCTAGGGTCAGTCTTAGGACATTTCTTTTTATTGTTTATATTAATGACATAACAGATAATTTAAGTTGTATTACAAGACTATATGCTGATGACACATCACTTGGGGTTCCCCGAAATGTAGGGCAATGATTTAAATTAATCTCAACAGAAACTTAGCTTTATTACAAGAATGGGCCAAAAGCTGACTGATTTCATACAACCGAGATAAAACGGAACTTTTAAAGTTACATTTAAGTTAGATACATGTAAATTAAATTACAGTTTGGTGGTCAGGCAATTAATACAGTTTAAAGCCACACATTTTTATGCGTTACGTTCGAATCAACCGGCAAGTAGTCTTGTCATATAAGCAATGTTGTTAAAAAACTAAACAAATTACATACTAAGTGAGAAATTAAGTTTATGTTAAACCGAGACACTCTCAATAATTATTTTTTTTAGATATTCACGAGGCCCCATTTTGTGTACACATGTGAGCTTTGGGATGGTTGTAAAATAGTTCAGAGTGGCAGACAAGAGAGATTGCAGTACGTAGGAAGCAGCCAGAATCATTACTGGGCTACCAAAACACACAAAGCGATCATCATTATATTACGAAACTGATTTGGAACCTTTTCAAGAACGTAGAAGGAAACGAAAACTCTGTCTTTTATATAAAATATATCACAACTTAACCCCATCTTACTTAAAAGATATTTTACCCTATTCGGTATCTTCCCAAAATTACACAATCATTTAATTTAAAACCTTCACATGATTCTTTTTTTCCCGTTTACTGTCAATGATGTGGAATGAGATACCATTAAAAAAGAATTTGCAGTTCAACTCAACATTTTAAGACACTTATAAATCAAAATCACCCCAAGGCCCCTTTGTACTTCTCCTTTGGCCCTAGAAAACATAATACTATACATACTAAGCTAAGACATAAGGTCGGTCAGTTAAATTATGATGTACGTAGACGAGGAATCAAATATACAGCAGAATGTTAATGTGGTAGTAAATGTGAAAATGCACATCATTTTTACTTTGAATGTTGCATATTAAATTCAGAAAGACCCATTTAACTTAGAAACATAAGTATTATAGTCGAAAATACACCAAATGGTCTCAATTTGATATTTGAATGGAAATGGGGTTTTACCAGAAGTAGTACAAAAATCAAATTTAGTTATATAATATGAGTTGTATACGTAATGCAAAGAGATTTATGTAAACTATATTGTTCTCATTGTTCACTTATCTTTCCTATTCCTTCTCACCTACTGTTCTGTTCATGTTTCGTACATTCGCATTCACTTTTTGTGAATAAAATATGTTTTGGGCGAATACGTTGCCACTGTATATTGCTTTTATGGAACGAACTGTGAAATATTGATTGAAAATGGATTTACAGATATGCTTAAAAATGTTATATAATTTATAAATATGTTGAATGTGGACATCATAAATGGGTAAAAATTAAAAGAACTATCTCTATGAATTAATCTCACATTAAATAACGTGTATGACCACCCCCTTCTAATCAGTTCTTGTCGGTTGGCTGGAGGATGTGGTCGCTGTTAAACACGACGATCCATGACATCACATAGGTGTTCTATGGAGGACATGTCTAGGGAGCGGTCGGGGCGGTCGGGTAGTCTAGTGGTTAAAGCGTTCGCTCGTCACGCCGAAGACCCGGGTTCGATTCCCGACATAGGTACAATGTGTGAAGCCCATTTCCGGTGTCCCCCGCCGTGATATTGCTGGAAAATTGCTAAATCGGCGTAAAACCATACTAACCCACTCACTCTAGGGAGCGTGCAGGCTCACGTTAACGTTCTTGGCTGCAAGGAAAATATGTCCGATTCGGCCTGTTTGGAGTCTGGCGTTGTCATGCTGATAAATGACACATCGTGGCAGCTGTTGTAAAATGGGAGGCCAATCAGACGAAGAATACCATCCATGTAAGGCTGAGCTTTCATATTTCCGTAACCCATGAAGACTTCCTGAGCGCTACATGCCGCCTTTCGTTCTCCCCTTCGACGTTAAACATGCTGTCTTCCATCAGCTCTGAACAGACAGAACCGGATTTCATTAAGGATGACGACTCTCTGGAAGTCACATCGCAGCCAACGACATACAGGCCTGGCCCATCTCAATCTCTGACGTCTATTTTGCCCTGTCAATAACAGTCCTCTCAGAGGTCTGTGAGCTCTAATTCCTTGAGCCCTGAATCGTCTGGCCACTGTCTGTTAATTAACCATATGCCCTAAGGCATTCGTTAGGACTCGATTCCGGAGATGCAAAGTACGCAAGTACCGGTCTTCATTGGGCGCAGTTACCCTTTGTTTGCCTGTCTGATGTCTGCCCGGTGTGTCTGTAACGTTGTCATAGTCCGGGCAATCAAGGCCATTTTTCACTCAACTTGGAACAAATTGCAACAGAATCTATTTCACCACAATGCATTTCTACAAGGTCCCGAAAACAACATACTAAAAGACCCAACCCCAGTTGTGGAAATATGTCTGATATGCATAATCCAATATCGCCACCAATTATCAATATATCTTCAATATTTCAGATGAGGTTCAATGTTTTGATGAAAAAGAAACATGTGTTGTATTGCGAAATAGCCATATTATGGTTCTAAAAAGATATTCACAACTACTGAACGTTTTCGACTATTGACAAATCTGCAATTTCAAGATGGCCGACAAGTTTCCTAAATGTGTGTTTACACTGTTGAATCTTTTAACACTCAAACAGTGTGCTAGGACTTATATTCATATAACTTGGCTAACTACATTTGTAACTCTCTGAAGTATCGTTAACACTCTTAGATAGAAACTCCATCACCAGAGCCCCCTGTTGGCCCAAAATTCTAAGATGGCCGCCAAGAGTTTGATGGCTAGACATAGGATATCAATACACTGTTGGTCTCTTATGACATATTTGAGTGATTGGAACTTCTACATCGGGGTAAACAGACTCAAGGATGCATGTAAAATACTCCAATATGACAACCAAATATCAATATTTATCTCTTAAATGACATGTTGATGGCTTCTCAATACAATGATTTAATTACAGCCTAGCCGTGTATATTCACGGGGAGGTGCGGTAGCCTAGAAGTTTATTCGTTCGCTCGTCGCGCAGATGACACGGGTTCGATTCTCCATAGGGGTACAATGTGATAAGCCCATCTCTGGTGCCCCTGTTGTGATATTACTTGAATATTGCTAAAAGCGGTGTGAAAAACGACTCGAACTTACTTGAACATCCACACTGCATGTAACTATGGAATGTCACTGTTTTTGTAAATGTATGTAGAGACTGTAAACTACTTGAAGTATGAGGAATGTAAAAGAATAAAGGTATAAAGTGCAAAAGAATAACCTGAATGACCGGAGAATGTGCCGATGGCAAGAGCAATCGGTACACCTGGTGTCATCTCTGAATTGCAGAATTTCAGTGATCCATTCATATAATTGTCACCGCTATGTTGCCTTTTACGCCCAATGGAATCTGTTTCAGCTGAAACATTAGGCTGTGTATGCTCTGACGTTCACATGTTATATTTACAATATAAGTCATAATATACTTGTATGTATCAGTACCTTTGCTCTCTAATCGTCTCCAAATATCATCCTTCAGATTCAACTTTGGCACCAAATTTTGGCACCACGACCACAGGAACTAGTTACGTCTATGTCCAATGGAGTGATCAATCTGCCTCTAATTACAATGATGTGTATCAGCTAACCATTTCACCCGATGGCACAGTACGTACTGCCACCGGGAAATTCTACAACTTTACAAATCTGCAACAAAGAACAAACTACCTCGTCTCTCTCGTGCGAACCATTACTAGATATGGGAGAACTCAGAGTCTACCTGCCGTCACCACAACGACCAGAACAAGTATGTCGTTCAACATAGAGTGGTGAAGCTTTGTGAAGAAATACTTAACGTTACTGCCATAAGGTTTATTTACATGCATGTCATCATACCACTTCAAATTCTTCAACGAGCTCTATACGTCATAGTCATTGTCTGCCGCATATGTAACCACAATAAGTCATGGCGCACGTTTTCTGTAGTCCTGTTTGAGTGATTCATTCAGACTGTCCAAGCATTTGCCTGTAAATCGTAAATCCTGTTTAATACTAACTTGTAAATGCGATGCGTTGGGTTGAAGTATATAAAAGGATTACTGGAAATTCGTCTAGGTATTCATATTATTTGAGTAAAGTATGTGTTATAAGTCTCGATAGGAACAACGTAATCTAGCGTGTGCTTACAAGGTTGAATGGTCACGGAGGTGACCCGGTATGATTCCCTCAATGCATGTAGTGTGTTTGGGGTATTCTTGAGGTCTTTGGCCATCAAACGGACTCTATATTGTTAAACGTAGCCAACAACACTCATTCTTGTATCCTCGATAATGGGAGTAAGTGGTTTTACGCCCCGTTTACTAATAATCCAGCAATATCACGGATGGGATCACCAGATGTGGGCTTAAAACACTGTATAACTTTTAGGCGAACCCGGGCCTTCAACGTGACGAGCGAACGCTTTAAGCACAAGGCTGCCCCGCCATACTTCTCTGTATTATGTAACATAACGTCAATAAGTATTGAAGATTTTAGATATAAATCATTCATGGAATGGGGTTAAATGCTTTTCATCACACTGTGGGTTCATATGTTACCAGCATCAAAGTATAATTCATTTTTGGCACAAGATCTGAATGTTACATAGATGCCTTTAATATGACATATTGAGATGGACAACTGAAGATTTCTACATTGATTTATATATAAGTATTACTAACGTTATTTTGTATCACGTAATGAACACAAACCAAAATGCCCACGGTACACCCCGGCAAATTCACTAATCACTTCTGTATTGGTCAGCGAAGCGGTAAGGGTACACAGTCGTTTCAGTAGTCACTTCAATGCATTGTTAAACCTTGTTGTCCTAGCTTTGATGACAAAAAATGTTCTTTTACTTAGACCATCCTTGTTTAAGACATGCTTTCAGGTGAACCATTGACTTCCCTTTGCATGTGCTTGTGATGCAGGATACGCTCACCTCTTCGTGAACAAAATGTGATGTTTAGTATAGAGTCGGAATCTTACAATGGACACTGCGCATAGCACATAATTCTTTTGATTATTGAAATGGATTGTGTCGCTTTAAATTTTATTATTAAAATCCAACCGTGAACCGTTAGCTATGTACGTCTCTAGACGTTCGTGTTCTGTGCAAAATGAAAAAAACACGATATTTTGGCAAAATCTTTTTAGATCTTGTTTTAGAATGAACAGAAAGCTACGTCCTTATGACTAATACAAGCGTATACAAGCAAATGATTCACATCATACACGAAAGGAATGTGAAAACAAGACATTATGGCCACGCTTTCGGATTCCGGCATTTGTGTAGTCATTCTTGTGTTTATACCAATTAAAAAGGTTCGCATTTATTCTAAAGCGATTTGTCTACTTAGAAATTGTAAGTTTCAATCAAGAAGAAAACCGTTACCGTGTTTGGTTCATGGGATCTGATACCTTTCCTCAACACAACGTATACGCTAAGGGCACTTTGACCGCAACACAAACGCCATTTCCGTTTAGGTTTTGTTCCCATTCGTCGCATAATCATTAAGACCAAAAAGGGTTCATTGGGTTACTGTCCTGCCTTACTGGCATTGAGACCGTTCATGGTGATTCGCGCTGTGTGTGGTCTGGCGTTGTCTTGGTAGAATATGGTCCAAGGGTAATGTTGCAGGTAAGGGAAACCATTGTCGAATTACCTCATCCTAGAGTTGAAAACTGCGAAATCCGTCTTCCTCTTTCACATGTTCCGCCCCATATCATGCGCTACCACCACCAAAAGGCTTGACCTCCTGAATGCAACAACGTGCTTTTTGCGCTCTCCGTCGACCGTAAATACGAAGAGGTAGAATCTAGTTTCATCAGTTTCTGTTTTGCCATTGGTTGACGGTCCATATGCTCACCTTTATCTTTGACGTCGATGTCGAGGTGTCAAGGCTATTCCGCGGTACGTTCTGAATTCACGAATGTCATGTTGCCGTAGTCTCCTCGATACAGATCTTTGACTGACGGGGTGTCCACGGGCAGTTGCTGACGATGACGTCACAGTGACGAATATGTTCCTCATATGTATGACGCGTAGACGCCGGTCTTCGTTTGGGGTTCCTGACGGATGGTCTACCATTCCTGGACCTGTCACTTAAGTTGGTTGGTTGGCTTGTTGTTTAACGCCACACTCAACAATATTCCAGCTATATGACGGCGGTCTGTAAATAATCGAGTCTGGACCAGACAATCCAGTGATTTAAATCATGAACATCGATCCACGCAATTGGGATCGATGACATACATCAACCAAGTCAGCGAGCCTGACCACCCGATCCCGTTAGTCGCCTCTTACGACAAGCATAGTCGCCTTATACAGCAAGCATGGGTTGCTGAAGACCTATTCTACCACGGATCTTCACGGGTCTGTCACTTAAGGGTTTGACCAGTGCGGATGTAGCGTGTCATCAGCCTGGTGCTTGTAGTGCTGGAACAACCGAAAAATCCTGATATGTGGTCATGTGAACCTCCCATTTGTATCTTATCTATTCCTCGTTTTCCCTCTTCTTTCGATAGCCCTGGAATGGTCGATTTGGGTGCATAAGACGACAGCTGCACTGCTTTATACCCTAACTGCCCAACTATAAATAACATCATGTTGCACGTGCATCAAACTCTCACGGTTGGGGTCATTTTGCACGAAATCCCGAAACGCTCGTGTTGGTTGGGCTAGTCGTTTTAATTTACATGAATTGTTTTCATTTTGTTATCTAAATTACAACAAATTATAATTTAAAGTTTGGCATAGCTTCTCTTGCCCGTGCTATTTCAATTATGCAAATTCTTTATATTTATATAGTATAGACAAAACTAACATGCGCTGTATTTATGAACTAATGCATCGTTGATTCATTCTATATGTTGTCGTAAAGTATGCAATACCTTGCGTTATATGCTTATGTCGTCGGAAATAGTCCGTCGTCCATACGCCTTTTAAATGTTCGACTTCTTCTCCGAAATGACTTCTTCCAATGTGAAGGGTAAGAAACCTGAAACGGGTCACCATATGTAATTCCAAATTTGTTCAAACTCAAAGGCATGTTGATTAGAACCCAAATCATAGTTCCCAGGATCAGCTAACATTATGTCCTTGCTTCCACCATTTCTTACACCACAATTTGGAATCTGATTTTCAGTTAGGCCACAAACCAGCCATTTTCAGCCAAATCTATGTAAATACTTAGCCTTTTTTGGTCCAACATAATGACATCCAGAAATCGTAAATAGGAAGATTATAGCATTAGTTCAAGAATCATTGTATTTCAAAATGGCTGAATCTTCTATTTCAGAGGTAGGCTACAACAAAAAATGCCAATCAGCGTCTGACACGTGTATTGATACCAACACAAGCTGTTATGGCGGTAAATGTCGCTGTAATTACAGATTCTACTGGAAAACCGGCTGTGTCTCTAGTAAGTGGAAAAATCATTATAAAACTAAGTTTTGCTATTTATTGGGCTTTTGACATTAAGGGATGTCCAATTAAGACACGTTGGACTTCACCTCGGTTGAGGATGGGTTTGTTTAAGCAACAGAAAAGAGATTGCAAAATAGCACCTTAAATGTGGTTTCAAAAGTACTTAGGGTGCTGGTTGAGATGTTGCAAACAGTTTACTGAAAACAATTAATATTTTGTTATGTTTACATCAAAATTTGAACCAGATAAAAATGCGTGTAAATGTACATGACGGCCAGTGACGTGTTAATGTATTACTTACAACTGTTTCTTCATAGATATGGTCTTTGCTTTAAGTATATATAATATCCCTCAAAATGTGTCTAATTACTCATAATTCCATGCCTTCAGAGGAAGTATTGAATACGGTCCATAATTTTTTTCAAAATCGTTTTGCGACTCAGTTAGTAATAATTACACTGAGTTCGCCAAAGTCATTCATTTCAGAAATAGAGCTGCACCCGAATTAATTGTCTAAAGAGTTATAAGAACGTGGATCGCACAAACAGACTGTATGTTTCTAACTTTAGACTGAATACGTAAACCTGTTGGGAGGAAAATACCATTCTTATACCATCTATTACATCGGGCAAAAAATTCGTGTTCATGAAATTGAAGTCAAATATGTACCTACATTTATTTTCTGTTAAAAAATTTAGTTTATTCATTTATACTTTTACGATATTAGCATAATAAGAATCACTGATGGCCAAGTATTTATGTGATTTAATAAAGTATCAAACGATAATTCATAAATGATTACGAACTTTCAATCTGTTCTTGAAATGCCCATTGAAGGGATAATGTAAATGTTACTACTTTCCTCCTTAATTAATTACCATCTGTGTATCTCTTGTGTCAATCAATGAATGATTCCCTATTTATATGACTGCGAATAACACCATAACTGTACAGAAAATATTGCTTTACATGTACAGTGCATGAATGATATTTTTTGTCAAATTTGTCAGTCATTGTTTTGTTATTTCAGTCGACGATCTCAGTCCCACATCTGTCGGAGTCAGCGTGGACAGCACAACCACAATGACTGCAAGCTGGGAATCGCCCTCAAACGCTGTTGTTACCGGCTACGAGGTGACCGTCACACCTGGTGACATCAATCAGATCCCTGTAGGGAACGTCACAAGGACCACGCCCATCACAGGCCTGACGCCAGGGAGACAGTACTATGTGTCTGTGAAGACAAAGATCACCTACCTGCAGGGACGAGATGAGGAGACAACCGCTCGTTTTGCGCAACCCAAAGTAACAAGTACGTAGATCAGGGAGGAGAAGAAATGTTGCAGGTCAACGAGGGCACGTTATGATGGATAAACAACTTCTTTCACGTGTTTGATAAAGATGTGAGAGTCTACACCGAAACGGAATTACAGTAAAGAAGTTGTCTATCTGTAAGATCATGTCCTTGTTCATCACACCGACTCCAAAATTCCACTAACAGATCTAGAAATGTTGAAGGTCCACTGAAATATTCGTTCATCAGCCTGCATATGCTGGATCCTACTGCGATATACCTACAGCGTATTACACTAAGTCTTAGTGTGTGTCGCCGCGGTGGTAGTGCATTTCTTCATTTCATTCACCAGCTATCTAAGTACAGTTCTAACTGCAAACCCAAATTTAAAATCTAGTCTATGACAGCACAGAACTGACAGATTGATAGATGTCTCAAAATCAACTATATAGCGTACCAGTGTTTGTGTTAAGAAATAACACAATGTAGCTTTGCAAGGGGGTGGATGCCTTTCAGCTAGCATATACCATTTGTGGTTAGTACATGTGTATGAGCAAACTAATAAGGCAGACTATCTTCTGTGTGTCCTCTGAGAATAATGGAATACAAACTACGTCGTGACAGAACAATATTGAAGATATCGTGTGGATAGATGAAACATGACTGCCTGAAAATGACAGTTGTTTGTACCATACATTAGTATAAAGTGGCATGTACATGTAAAAGTTTTGTAATCGATGTGTTTTTGTTGGTTGTCATCAGCACCTGATACCGTGGATGAGCTCGGCGACAAGACCAACCTCACAGCCCCGAACATCATCATAGACTTCCTGAAGGCTGACGGTGATGTCCAGTACTACCGGGTCCAACTACAGGGGATAACTGATGTGAACTATCTGCAGACAACGTTCGTAACTCCACCTGCGACAAATAAGACTTTCAATGGAGTTGTGCCTAACTTCCAGTACAATTTGACGATAACAACACACAGTAATCAACAACAGAGTACTCCTTACGCTCGGACTATTCGAGTTAGGGCTTCACGTAAGTAGCTTTTCTATAGCTCGACTACACCTGTTAATGCTGTAGTTATTTCATTTTCCCGCAAATTGCCCATTGTACGATTGGACTTGTACCAAGTGTACGAAATAAACTGCTAAACACACAAGATGTGAGAATACTTGTAAAGGCACCCATATGTATGACATAGAAACAGACTTGTGATCCGGAGAAGATGAAACAACAGGGAACGGACGTTTTAGAAAAAGGAAACGGCACGAATTGTTACAGACATGTATCGTTTTTCGAGGTGATTCGGCTAATATACCTACAGTGCTGACGCTTCTTGGGTTTCACGAATGAAACTGTAAGCGTATTGGCCGATTGGGTGTAACTGACCTATATCCAACTCCAGGCAAGTAAACGTCTTTTTTCCGTTTCTATTACATGGATTGTTCACGTATCATAGATGACAAAGGTAACTGAATCAGCCTTTCAAACGACCTTTAAAACGAAATGTCTTCAAAACACCAATTGTCTAATAATGCTCTCTCATCCTATCCGGTGGCAGAGCGGTGATGACAGTGGGTTAACAATAAAAAGTTCAAAGGTTGAAACGTAAATGGTTTCTTAACAGTATAAGTTTCATTTTCGAGTCTGAAATGGTCAACACATTTACGTAAAAGAGTTAAAGATTGCAAACTGAGAATAGTTCCAAGTGCCTGGAATATGTGTATTGGCCAATACACCTTTTGAATCAAAACATTAAAACCATGGCAAGGAGACAGGAAGAGGGGTAGAAGGTTTTCTCCAAACAGCAGGACATTACCTACCTCACAACACACTGCATAAACATACATATTGAATCACAAGCGTAATTCTGTAGGAATTGCATTGAATGTCAAAGAAAAGAAAACTGAGACAGTAAGGCAATTATTAGTTATATACCACACCCTCAGCTAACAGATGTGTGCACTAATGGACCAAATGTAGGTGCATGTAGTGGGAATGTTGCCTTATATATGCCGAAATATGTAATTTGGCTCTTGTTTCTTTGACGATTGGTTGGTTGGTTGTTTTACGCCGCACTCAGCAATATTCCAGCTGTATGATGGTGGTGTGTAAATAATCGAGTCTGGACAAGACAATCCAGTGATTAATATCATGAGCATCGATCCATGCAATTGGGATCGATGACATGCTTCAACCAAGTCAGCGAGCCTGACCACCTGATCCCGTTAGTCGCCTCTTACGACAAGCATAGTCGCCGTTTCTTTGAAGAAGGAAAACATTTGCAGATAAGATAAAAGATATTAATGTCATTCGGCTATGGCTTACAATAATGTAATTTAATGAGTGCTCGAGTTGATTTTGCTTTTTACCGCTAGTTTCCCTTTTACGCTATTTGGAATATGTTTGGTCGGATAATCAAGACTGGTTATTCTCTGTCGTTTTGATGTAGCATAAGCAATTTTCACCGGGGCAAGAACAAAGCGTCGATTGCAAATATGCCATCATATGTATAAAAGCGACAAAACACGCTTTAAATAAATAATCATAATACATCGATGTTAAATGCAGAGATCATTGTATTCCGACCATATCATGGAACAAGTTTGGGTTGTTAGTCTCGGTCAGATTTACGTCATACCTGTTTCATTGCAATATATTTTAAGGGCATTTATCTTTTTATCTAGTTGAATACAAGTGTCCGAGAGAGCGGAAACATTACCAGCCAACTCAAGTGGAAATAATGGCAACAATAACAAACGTAATGCCTGTAACTATTTGTACATAAGTCACACATATATTTTGTTCATCAAGGGCATCAAACACTGCTTAAACCACGGGCCATAAACCAACAACAACAAATGCTAGACCACCAATCTTATATTGGAGGAAGGCCCATCCATACATCGTACCAACCCTCAGTTATAACGTCAAACCGCAATAATATATATAACCAAACATCAATATCTTATGGGATAATGTAGTCGAATAATTCTCTGGTTGGAAGCGCTCACAAATTTAGGCGTGGAATAAATGTTCACATATAAGTAATACGATTAGGCTTGTCTGTATGAATAGTATCTTGATACGCACAGAGTATGTGAACCATAACTCTCATGAAATATAGGCAAACATGTTTTTGTAAAACATTATTCTTTATTTATTTATTTAACAACTCATTAAAGATATAATCTCCCGATTGGTTTATTTTGAACAACTATTCCTAGGGAATTTGTATTTTTATTAAGCTTTCCTTTCCTGAAATTCCATTTGGTCGCCACAGTTGGTGAGGTTGGGGAAGGGCTGAAATCTAATAATACGTTCACTTTGACCTTATTGCATGCTAATAATATTACATGTACTTAGATGGTGGACCTGTGAGTGTCATGTATCACAAGGAAAATCACGGATACCACCTTCTCTATTGTTCCACGGCAAATTCTTGTTCCTTCTTCAGGTGTTGATAGTGTAGGAGACCATGATATATATTTGTGACAAAATTAAATGCTATTAAAAGGGGAAGAAGATTGTTAGGGTGCTAAAATTGTACAAGGGAATCATTAATGTGTTATAAATATGTTAATTTGATAGATTAAACGAAGAGCTGATTGAATTGACTGGAAGTTTATACTGTTGATGAGTGTTTATACAGTGAACTTAATGTCCCAAGCACTCCCTGATCGCGTTTGATGGATGGCTTGGCTCGACTGATGTGGTTCGTATCTTGGAGTTTGTGCTTTATTCACAAACTGTATTTAAACAAAGAGGGAACATTTCTCTCTATGGTATGCAAGAATCACACCCCCGTGACTCTGCTGAGCTGGTAGTATGGGAGTTAAAAACATATACAGTCGAATGTTATTCTTGATACTTGGGACTCCCAAATGAGTTCGAGACAACCGGGATTTCGACACATCCCGTTCGACAGATCGGAGTATAACTTATAAACGCGATAGAAGGAATTCGCAGGAACTGGGAGGTGAGTTCAAGACAACCGGAAATTTGACACATCCATGTTTGACACCAGGAGGTTCGACTGTATTTAGATCTATTATGAACTGTTTATTACCGGTTTATTGCTGAGTTTAACATTTAGGATTTAAGGTAACTAAAATTAGACCAATTACAACTAGATGTATATTTTCATTATCATTTTTAAAAGTATACTTCTCATAATTTGGTGGTTTCTTGTTCAAACTACTGTTTGTGTGATCTAAATTTTAAAATGATGATTTACAAAAGAAATGGTCATGCAATAACGATTCTTCATATACAGTATTTCAACGCAGTAATGAATAGAGAGGGCAAACGAATTACTTCAAAAAGACTATACGCAGAATGATATGATTGTAGTGAAAGAAAACAAACTCTTTTGATCTCTGAATGCAATATTATATTTATTATACCTCAGTCTATAACTAAGTACCAATCTCATTTAAATGAGATCTTAATGCTCGTTACCGCTACGCGATCTTTGACTGCCCAATAAAATGAATTATAGCAAAAAAAAGGACATTTATAACCAATCAGAAAGCAGTTTTCTCGGAGCTTTACGGAACTAGTTTCATACTGGTGACGTCCATTCCAGCCTACGCTTTGAAAGATATATTAATTATACCATTGAAACGAGAAATAGAAATATGATTTTGACCGAATCAGTCTCCTAGTCCGTAACTGTCGTTCGGAATACCCTGTGTTAACCTTTTTGAAGTTACATGATATATTATATTATTATTGTGGTATGCAAAAGAGACGCAACACTGCACAGCACATTGTGCCTTAGAAGATTGGGACCAGTGAGACCGCCTCGAAAGTTTCATATTAGCGTCTATGCATAAAGATTCAAAGTGACAAAATTATCATAAGACCGCGTGACACTCTGCTTATTATATCTTTAGATAATATGTGTACGTCACCTGTTGTGACTCGTTGATATGATGCATGTAATATCGCCTATGATACCCGAATCAGATACATCACCATCGATCAATATTCTTTCTTTGTTACACCTGGTATGATTACTATTTGATAGAGCTTCATAAACACATGTTCATGTTATAGTCGAAATCGTACAATCGACTCGGCTTTATGCAGAGATTTCTATTGGATATGGAAAGGGTTTTGTCGCTTTCTTTAGTCACCATTCATTGTGGATGTATACTTTCTTTGGCCTGGCAGTTTATAAACAAAATTATCATTTTGATAAAACTCCTAAGTATCCCGTACATACTTGTAGGAAAGACTACGTAGAAATAATCCCAACACTCTGACACCATAGAAATAATCCCAACACTCTGACACCATAGAAATAATCCCAACACTCTGATACCATTGGCATTATCTACACCAGGACCTTTACCTGATTTCATCTGCTTTATGGACATAACAGGCTTCTCCACTCCCCTGTAACTACACTCCAATCTATCCAACTGTATAAACTCTACCCCAGATAGACAGACAGACAGACATTTTATTCGTATTTTTTTTGCTATGAGGCAAGTAGTAAAGTGAAAGTTCAGATCCGAATTACGTAGATCGATGTTCATGATGTCAATCACTGAATTGTCTGGTCCAGACTCGAATATTTTAGAGACTGCCGTCATATAGCTGGAATATTGCTGAGTGCGGCGTTAAACAACAAACAAACAAACAAACAAAACTAACATTTGCATCTCACGCGCTGCAATAAGGTAGGGGGTTGCGAGAGATATTTCCTCTCAAAGAATAGTCACTGGTAACGAGGGATGCTTGTCCTCACCCTCGGTCCTCAGCCTTACAGAGAAGGAATTGCGTAATAGGGAAATCCTTTGCTACGGTTGGTTGGTTGGTTGGTTTGTTGTTTAACGCCACACTCAGCAATATTCCAGCTATATGACGGCGGTCTGTAAATAATCGAGTCTGGACCAGACAATCCATTGATTAATATCATGAGCATCGATCCACGCAATTGGGATCGATTACATGCATCAACCAAGTCAGCGAGCCTGACCACCCGCCTTTTCCGACAAGCAGAGTCACCTTTTACAGCAAGCATG